TATGGAAAATATATCTTTGAAATCCAGTTCGGCATCTTTATGAGACCATACAGTGCGATTGCTCCACCGTTTCACATCGTCTTGTCCCTCTAACCCGTGACCTTAAACAAGTACATTCCCTCTGACCCCTAATGCGATCTGACTGGATCATATTCTGCGATCTGGTAACCCTCGTTGTACCAGTGTTGCTGGATTAGCAGTGGTTCCACAGGAATACACAAATTGGTAAATGGAATGGCTTCCAAGATCACCTGATCTGTCCCCCTTGGATTGCTTTCTGTGGCGATATCTAAGGCGAACCGTTTATTCCCGAAAACCGAGAATGATGGAGGAGCTTAAACAGTGCTGTGGTGCAGTGCGAAAGTATTCCAACTGCTACCATTCGGAAGATGGAAGAAAACTATCGGATTTCGCTACGCAAGCAACAGAATGGAAAACATATGGAACAACTTTCATAAAATAACTATGCATTTTTCCATAATATTTGTTCTCTATTTCTTTCGGAATTCTATCTCCGACGTAGTTAGCGAGATCGTTCAACGCGAAAAAGCCCGGTTGGTAAAGTACCACGAAACGTTTTGCGTGGGCCTACATTAAGGGATATTGTTGTCCGTTATTAAGACAAATTCAAAGTTTTATTATGGTTATACAGTACTGGTCGATTGTGATGCACTGAAATATTTTCTTNTTGTGATGCACTGAAATATTTTCTTTGTGATCAAATGGAGTTTCATTATATTTATTACTTGTTTTAATGCTTTATGTATGGACAATAATTTACATCTTGTCTACTGGGATCTAAGTAGTTTCTAGGCTGCATAATTGTCAATTAAACGTGCGTGACTTTGGTTGCTAAGATTAAATGATCTGAACATGAAAAACGCAAACTTTATCAAGTATGAAAACGCAATATTTTCTAATAGGAATAAATCAAGAATTATCCCAAATTATTTCCATAAACCCTTGCAACCTCGGATGTTTGCTATGAGGCATTTTTTTATCCGACATATAATCCATTATAGCAACTCTATTGAATAACCAAATGAAAATGTTTCACAACTCGGGGGAATTAAAATAAATGAGGTTTCTTAATAATAATCTATGTTTGATATCTACCTCACTGAATTCGAGAAATACCAGTTCACTAGTTTCTATGTTTACCGAACCCGATTCGAAAAATAGTGCATGTATCTTAGACGAGTCAAGCGTTGGCCTAGTGTCTTCATCGCTTGAGCATTTTCCATTCCGAATTTCCCACATGGCGCAACGCTCCAAAATGATTCTCTTGAGGTGATTCTCTACCAACACTTAGGCAGCATCAGATTCGGAACCTATCCTCCTCCTGTGCCGGCCCGAACATCACACCACCGATCGGACGAATGGTTCAGACGCAACAAGGGACCTGGTGCTTGCCCAGCTAACCCGAGCGAGAAACCACACCCTTTTACAGCGGGCAGTTTCAGGTAGGCCCAGAGAACTCCGACTGTGCAGCAGGAGTGTCATCAGCACAGGGATGGACTGGATGTAACAACAAGAGCATTACAAAACGTACAAGTCGGTAATCAGACAGTCTCGTGTTGAGGTGAGGGATTTTAAGCGCCGCAGATCGCGGAATATGATCCAATCAAATCGCATTAAGGGTCAGAGGGGATTTACTTGTTTAGGGTCACGAGTGAGAGGGACAAGACGATGCGAAACGATGGAGCAATCGCACTGTACATGTATATGATTTCCTGACAAAAAGCATTATCCCACACTACTACTTACAAGTAACTGTGAGTCAAATGTGAAATACCAATGCAGCCTTGTGCGTTCGTTGGCGAATTAGTGCGTACATACAAGGAAGTCCTGACTTGGTGGAAGGCTTTCGATTGAAGTTAACAGTGTCGTCTGTCTTCCTTCGTTGCTGTCGTGCCAAAATGAACTGACTATCACTGAGGACGACATCTGAACAAACATGAATTGGCAATTGGATTCAGCCATGGCATGAACTGGTTGGCACAGTGGTAACGCACACGCCTTCCATATGATGGATCCCGAGTTTTGTCCCCGGACAGTACGGTAGATATGCACCACTGATGAGCTCCAATAAGAACGAGAGAGAGTCTGGTGCTTCCGAGTGTATGGTTGAATCGATAAACTGAGGATTATGCGTGAAGGTGAAGTCCGAAGGATAGTCATCTCCAGTCACTGAAGTATCTGTGCTGTGAGGTTCTACTCACATTTGTTAATAGTATGTTTCGCGGTCACAAGAAGATGCGATTGGCGGTTTCTCACAACGTTCAAAAATGAAGAAGGCTTTCTAACGCTAATTAGTGTCGAAAATTGCAACTACAGAAACGCACGGGTCACTTCAGTCTGCTCAATCCATTAATCTGTGTGCCTGTCGAACTAATGATTGAGATGAGATGCTTCAGTCTATGTAACCCAATTTACCTAGTCATATGCTTGTTCCCAATACATAACTCTCCTCAAACCAACACTGAAATTATAACATCTGCATATCAAGAAATAATTTTGGACCTCCGACCAACTTTTGCCGCATCCAACGGAGTGTGGCAAGACTGCCCAAATCTTCATCCCTGTACAATTTTCCCATAGCTGATTTTCTACAGTGTGCATTGTCCAGTTCCGAAAACCGTGAAGTTGAACTCCTCTCAGAGAAAAAAGTTTCAATCGACAATATGGACATTCTAATTGGTCATGTACGGGTATTCCAACATGCATTGAACCACCTTACAATCGCTGCATCCAGATATGGTATGCGCTTTGCCCCACCCACCTGTAAGGCACTCATACAAGACCAGTAAGAGCCTGTGTACTCATCCTGTGTGGTTATCAGCTAGGAACAATCAGTTAACTTGATCAGAGAGAGTTGATCCGGAGCGATCGAATCATGAATAGCGAAAGCTGTGGTACCACCGAGACAAACTAATCCCCCTCGAGGTTGGTAGTGTTTTATTTTACGTCCGCAAAAACTGGCTTTACACATTCATTATGCTGATTGGCTTAGGGTATTCATTCACCAGTGTTTTCGAAGCAATGGTTATCTAGAGGGTGTAATTGGTTCTACTCGTATTGTATTTCAACAGTATCCCTGAGGTGCTCAAGAAGCGGCAGCGGCATAACAACGGATTGTGTAGCGGAAAAACACCTGAACAAACTGCTGGACTACCCATCCGAAATCTCTTTTGAGAACGATTTGTAGCCTAGCTTAGTCTTTTCCACGTCCCGTTCATTCGAGGAACAATGATCCAGAAAGTACTGAACTTGCGTCTTTATAACAGTTGGAAGATCGTGCGAGTGACATTCCGATTTTTCTTGTACGTGCTGTTTCCGAGCGAGTTCGTTCGACATGAACTGAATCCACTTTTTCACCACTATCTTGTGCTAGAGGATGAGTCGAAATCCTAGATATCTCGAATGAGCCATCAAATACAAGCAACCTGACTGGTATTCCATTTCTCCGATGGAGTCCATATCCGTTGTATTTCATACGATGTACGGTTTTTATTTTTCATCGCTGGAAAAACCCAATGTTCACTTGGCTACTTTTCTGAATCTGTCTTAAATTGTCATATTCAAAATTACAGGCTTAGGATTCACTGCAATATTGATCACAGACCTTGAAGATGTTACTGGTGGGAAACCAAGTTACTATACGTAAAAACGTGTTCGATTAGCATCATGAACCTTGAACAGGTACGAATTTAGTTTGCAGCCTGTGTGGGATCAGATGATACAAACTAACATTGATATCCGAGTCGATGCTTTATAGTTCTGTCCGCGAAAAGGTTTCATTTGTCACACATCGCTCGAGGTGGTTGAACGAAAGTTGAAGGGAGCGTGAAACACATCTGTTCGGGAAAAGTCAATAAACTTTGACGAAAGAGATAGATTGTTTTTTCGAGAACCAAACGGTTTTCTCTTAGACACCCTAGTTGACCGAGTGCTGAAGGAAACTTCCGTGAAACAGTTAAATGAATGCATATGAGTACACGAACAAGCACATGCCCAAAGCCTGGTTAACGCATCGGATGATACGAGCATGTGATTTTAAAGAGGTTGGCCGTTCTCGAACATGATGACTCTCGGAAAACGCCTTTCACAAGTGATTACTCAGCTAAACTGTCTAAAAGAGCTAGGAGCAGGCGGTGGGGGGGGGGCTACTGCAGTTGAATGATTTTGTCAATGCAGAGTGAACAAACCTGATTGGTTTTAATTGTGGATGTAGACTATTGACAACGAACTTCTTAGTGCAGTCGCCTTCAAAGAGGATGCCTTTTCCAAAGCCTTGCTATGTCAAAATCGTAGCGCCCCGTAAGTTGACGTAAGTTACGTTGGTTAATATATTTGCATCTTTTCAGTACGTGTAACTGAACAGTGTGAGTGTTCTCTCCTTCTGGAACTGGATAAAATTATCTGCGAGCCACTCAATTAGTGGATATCAGTTAGATAAAATCGTCATATTCAGTGAGCATTTCGAAACTCTAGGCAGACAATAACGACGGCTGAGTCGATTCCGTCCTGAATCAGGTTGCATTTTTAAAACAAAATAGAAATGTCTAAGGTGTACTGCCACATACGAACACTGGTAACACTGCGTTGCTATGCTTCATTATCGGCGGTTTGAAATAACCTAGATTTCACCAAACCAAATTCCTCTGGGGAATAGAACAATGGTCCGTAGATTTCTCGATTCATCAGCTCGTTTTGAAATTTAGATAGTTTGAGTGCTTCGTCAGTAGGGAGGAGAGAGAGAGCTATAGCCATGACGATTTCGAAAGACAGGCTGTTCATGTGTGTGCTTTCACAAAGGTAGTGACACAAAACGCCTCCAGATCAGTGTGCTAGGACAGTAGGCAGCAGTTCAGAAAAAGAAAAAACCATTGCATTGTAATCTCTATTCGAGTGTGATACGATATTATAGAAAATAATTCAAAAGTGGGGGGATTAAATGCGTGCAATTTAAAAATAATCAAAATCTGATAAATGAATCTTCAATATATGGAATCTGATGAACTGTCCAGACCAAAACAGACTGGGATTTCCCACGGCTCGGGACGATATTCTGAGAAAGGAAGAAAGAAAGAGTGGAAAATGAAAAAATAGCTGCCACTTTAATATAAACTACCAATTACCTCCATTTATAACATACATTTCATACATTCATACAAACAACAATCGTAAAATCACTATTCGAAAAGAGAGCGCAGCATTCAGTTGAAGGTTAACAATCACTGACAGGGGAGGTAAGACAAAGGTGATGGGGTTTGATTACACGAAACATGCGGTAATGGTCTGACAGTTTACACCGCTTGACCACCGCTGCCCTACGCACAGTCAAATAAACCCCTCGATTGCTATAAATAACGCGTCTGAAAGAGCTCGACCAGGAGTCATCCAATGTCTCGATTTTTATGTGAGAAGGGCGAGTTTCTAGCTGGAGACAATGTTTGAGATCACCCTGATGCGAGTGCCAGGTAAGGTCGTTCAAGCACTTCAGCAATACTACATTAGACGTGTTAAAGATCGAACACAAGTCCACACGATAGAGTAGCATGCCGTTTCGTTTATTTCCTTATATTTGACGATTGATTAACTAACCCCGGATTTGTTTGACTTAACGCTCTCACAACCCTGTTACTAGCCCAAAAATCGTCTAAGAAACCAGTATTGAATGAAATCTACGGCGGACTGATACAAAACGGCGCCAACCTGTAACTTTGCTTAATGGAACATTTTTTCAACGGCTAGACCGTTTCATTATCGAGAATTGTTTCTTGATTATTGTTATTATATTCATATGTAGGTATATAAGTCTTAAGAAAAGGTGAATTGGCGACACTTGTATAAGACGTGATCTCGAAGTCCTGTCAAGTGGTTCCCGCCTCCGAGGAGAGATAATTTGAGAACATTTGGACGAGGTACAATACCGAATATGGTATGATTCTTCCGTTCCCATCTTTCCAAATGATTTGGAGTAACTTTGAGTTACATACAACAACAATTTTAAGTTCATTATTTTTGTACCATTATTATTATTCCTTATCATTACATGATTTTATGGTACTTCATCACTATTATCGCATGCTTTATTTACCAAAATAATTATAGTGTTCATGAGTAGTATGCATTTCAACAGAGAAATTTAACTTACAGGAGTAGTATCTCAGCTGTCGGCAATCTGAAAATCACTCAGTACTCTATTGCACACACAGACCATAACACGTACCTCGTGATTTTCTGCCATTCTTTGTGGTCTTTATTTTATCCGCCCTTCATTTCGTGAGTCCAGTTCAGTCTTTATAACCATTAACTATACACTTTTATGCGCTAGTTAATGAAGGTATCAGACATCGAAGTTGTGGGATTTGGAGTTGAGTATGATGATCAACCGTTTCTATCCAGTTGCCGAAAGGACCTTCAGTACCCTCGAGAGTGCATTATCTCCATGGACAGATGCCCCCAGTATCCATGATCATAACACAAGCGTGTAGTTGCATTGCGTTTGAACACGGATCATAAAGTTGGTTTTGATCAAACTACCCTCCTACATGAGGTTTGGGTTATTTCCGATACCAGTTGACGGAACCCACTCATAAAAGAACTTCTATGTTTCGTTCAGGTCTCCACTTTCTTCTTCACAATTCCTTCTTCCACTTTCAACTGTGCCGTTACTCACGAATTGGACATGATAAACAGTTTGCACAAGGAGAACCTGGCAAGGAGTATGCTCCTGTTACATATATGGTCTTTGTGATGACCGACAAAGAGCGATGGACAGCCGCCTCGTTTTGTTTGGGATTCACCAGAGATGCCCTTTTGGTGCCCCTATCATGAATTGAACCGAGGACCTTCGAACCGGGAATCAAGACTTACCGATGAGCTAGACGACCGATGGTCGCCACCTGGTGCGGATGGCTTAATCATTTTAGACAGGGACACCAAAAGTACGCATTTCTTACCAGTCCGAGATTGGACCAAACAGATACTAAGTGCTATTTGTCGATCAGCAAAAATATTTCTACCGCATTTTAATGCATTCATCTCGTTGGGAATTAACGATGTCTCCAGGAGTGAAACCCATACCCAGTATCATCAACAATGTCTAGTGCCTGTGAAAAACCGAATGGGATAATACAAACATGTACCGTCCAAGTATAGGTTTCTTCTTTATCTTCTCCTTCTTAGTGGGTCACCAATCACTTGCCGTGGAACTCCTAAAAATGCTATTATTAAAGAGAAACAAGCAATCGAAGGATTCGAAGCACCGTAACGATTGAGAACTGCACAATTACATAAATTAGGAATGGGCAAAACTGCGCGCATGATGTTTTATGATGTCAATGCTGTATGGATTGATTTGTCATCTACGTTTTCGGAGGACGACAAACAAACATTGAAACCGAGGGAATGATTTATCGAGTAGATGACCGGTCAAACAGAACACAACGAAAGACAAATGCGTTTCCCAATAGGCGTTAGGCATAATTGTTTGAATCATCACTTTAGAAAGCATTTGAATGTCAAGCGAATGGGACTCAAGTTCAGAAACATTGTTCGTTGCTCAGAGAAAGACGCTGGCGTCGAGTGTTGAAGTGACATCTGTTACGAGCGTAAATCGCAGCGTGAAAGTCACACACTCCAGATAGTACGAACACTTTACCCTGCAGGTTCCACACTATACACGCATTAGACCGGTAGTAGTTAATCGGTGTTGCTCACCAAAATATTGAACACAATCATCACTGGCCCCGACAGACTCTCCTCTTTCCTTTATATCACATGACAGCTCTTTGATCGATCGGTTCGTCCTTTCTGAAAAAGTCGCTCATACAATCACGTATCTAGTAAAAAAGAAATAAACGCATAAAAAATATACAGAAAGAGAGACAGAATTCGGGTCACATGAACGCCTTTATAGTGGAACTGCCCTGTGATTAAACAGATCAACACACTCACTTTTCCGCTTAAATTTTATCGGTTTTCGCACGAAGAATTGGTCTCTCGAGAGGGTTTCTTTTTTCTTATCCTTGTATTTGACCTGTGAGGTGCGGAGAGCAAGTACCATCAATCCATATGAACAATGAGCAAAGAGGGAGAAAACGGAATTCATTCCAATTCACCCGATTTTTGCCTACTATTTATCGACTAATGGGTAAACGGATTATTTGGAGTAATAAATTCCGGCAAAACCACTAACGAATACAAACTTAGAGTCATAAAGTTTCCAAACACCAGACTACCGGATCTATTGCATCACTTTCCTCACTCTAAGTTGGCCCACAAACTAATCGCATTTTCGCTCAAGCAAGATGGACGGCCTTGAACGCACATGAGGTGACTCCAACATCCCATTTGAAGCACTAATAGATGAAGTCACAGAATACGGTGAGAATCTAGGGCAAGGTTATCAGTTACAGTTCGAAAGCTCAGATACCTAACTGGAGAGCCTAATGCGACCAACATCTCCAAGCTCTCTAGTCATGATAGGTCTTAGTCTGACTACCTTTCAGCTTCTTTTAATCACCTCATGACTCGGTAAACATAGTAAATCGAGGCAGTCCATGTGATTAAATGCATAGTACAAGCAGCAGCCAACCGAATCCACGGGTTCGAAACGCTCCACCGCCGCCCATCTTCCCTATTTCTGCATTTCCCCAGAAAGCCTTTGTACGGCCGCAGCCCCCTTTCTGACAGTAGACTGTACATTTGTATATTCAATAAATTAAAAAGGAAGTAAAAAGACATTTATTATTTATTTGGTCGACCAACTGGTCCCGCGTGCGACCGTATTGGAATGAAAATCTGCATTT